CCATTCCAAGCTTTTACTTGTTATTAAACCAATGGTTAAACAACTCTATTTATTCAAGAATTACCTTGTGTTTTTTTTTCCCACTTACAGTGTTATTAAGAGTTCATTTATAGCTCTAGTGTTTAGTTTTAATTACAACTTGGGTTACGAGTTTAAATACAAGTACAGGAACAGAATTATCACCAATGTTAGATTAGTTTAGCTTCAGCATATATTCAAGCAGAGACTAATCTAATCTCTGGGTAAAGTCACTCTCGGTGATGAACACACGGAGCCAAGATGTGCATAATATTAGGACAGATTAATACCTGAAATAAGGATCAATGGTCAACACAAGTTAAATCTTCATGCTGTATTAGACAGTGCCACACATTCTGGGTAGGAAAAAAAATATTCAAGCACAAAGAACACTACACCACACTTTGTTACCAGAGCGGGAACAATACCTACTGGCCTGTCACTACTTGCCTGCCTTAATAGAATGGTCAGGTTCAGGAAGAAGGGTTCTGAACAGCACATTAATAATGTAGTGCCTACAAACAATGTTACATACATTAAAAAATAATGCCTCAATGAATACTTGCAGGTGCAAGAAAGATCGTGCACTCAACAGAATACTTCAAATGTCCAACAGGAGAGTAACAAAGAAATAAAGGCCTAAACACTGACCTGATAAACAACACATGTAAAAAAGTGCATGACTACATCAGCCTCACATTATGAAAGGCTACAGAGAATCAGGGGAAGCAAGTACTGGCTTGAAAAGCTTTTTGAATCTTATTATGTCACACACTTTGAAAAGGCTAAATTCTCAAACTCTGAAGAGTTCATTCTCACTGGATTTTAACTTCACACCAAATGATTACCTAGAAGCTGAGATGACCAATGCCATTCAACCTGATAGCAGCATAAGCTATGAACATTATGAGAGTTCTCAGTACAATAAAAACCATTGCAACTCACCAATGTGTACATGAAAGGTAACACAGCACATGATGGAAAAGACTGGAGATTTCTAAAGGACCTGTTTGACAACACTTTTATGTATCTAGCAGTAGGAGATTTGAGATGTAATTGAAAACAGTACCAGCAAACAGTGTTCAAAATAAGTAGTTTCCAGTTGTCTGAAACAGCCAAAATTATTGCCAGCCAACTCAAATACACTACTGTGTTGTCTGTAAGATAATTGCAACAAGGCCTGATTCTATGGCAGTCAAGGTGTCTAGTCAATATTAGCATGTTCAGAATACTATATGAATAATGAAAATTATGTCTATGTGAACAATGTTTTGATTTCCACGGACACATGATCATCATGACTACACCTACTATTTCCCATTAAGATTGTTCATTATAATATCTTGCAAACCTGTTACAGTTTATGACCAATGATACTAAAAAGATTTTGATAATATCACATTCATTTCTACCAATTATATTTAGACTTAAACACCATGTTCAATGTCAGTTGTGTATCTGGAAAGGATTAATTGAATCTGTAGCCTAAATGTTCATTGGACTTCAATCCCATTAAGTACTTGAGATGCTCTTGGATAATATATCTCACATCCTGTCAAGTGACTCTAATACAGGAGAGAAGTAATAGAAAAGGCCCTTTTGGAGGAGCAGTTGAGGAGACCTTAGGATCTTATCAATATTCTTAATTCAAGCAAGTAACATTAGTGCTAGCTTGTGCTTACTGTTTAAAGTGACTATACTTCATATTGAAGTGGAGTATCATGATGTTCAGCCATTTCTACCAAATGTTCATTTATAAAGATCAAATGACCAAACATTTATGTTTAGCTTACATGATAGATGAAGTAATTGACTATCTTACAACCATGGCTTTTGCCTTGTAATAGCTAAAGTATGCTAAATTCTGACTATGTTTTCAATTAATTTTTTAGTGTAAATATATATTTTTATTTTGTAGATACCAGTGAACTGCAGTTTATATTTATGGTGTTTGTAATGTCCTCTATTCACCACAAGTAAAACCTGCATTAATGTAACTGAAGGATAAGTCATTTTATGTTACTAAAGAATTAATCTGTACTATTTTGTTGAAGAGATGGTTTTGTAAGATGTAAATTTTTATGCATTTGAGGGAAAATGTATTGTGAATCCTATATAATTTTATAACTTGTTGTTACTAAACATGTACAAAGGTTTGACCAAGCAAAGCAAACTCTCTGAATCAGAAACAGAATTTCCAACTGAAAGTGA